AAATGAACCTTAAAAAATAATGAAGTCAGGATTATATGAAATAAGCAAGTATTATATGAAATATCAATTGTTTTAAGGTAGAATCAACTGGGAAAAAAATGTATAATCAAGCTACAGTTAAAAGCAGTCAATGACAAGCTATTATTCAAGATGAGCCAGTTAATATCATCTGAAATTCACCAACCTTTCAAACATATTTCCAAAGAAATTTGTGTGTGTGTATACACGTGGTTACGACATCTGAGGCAGTGAAATCCATCAACTAAGACAGTAAAGAATATATAAAAGCAAAAGAGTGAACAATGAAATGTATATATATGAGCGTCAGTTAAGAGAAAGTTACAAGGCACGACCCTGTCCATTTGAAAAAATCATTTGAAAGCAGAATAAATAACAAGCAGATGTAATAGTGGAGGCCAATTATGCATTAGCTTCCTGTTAGCCCTCATTAATAACTTGTTCTTTTTTTTTTTCCCCTAATCACATCAACCCCTTAACAATTAACAACTAAACAAGTCAAAGGACACCAGAACAACTTTTATCTCTATATACCCAATTTGCCACGTAATTTAACTTAAAATTATGATTCGACTAAATCTCAAGTGAAACCTACTTATTTGTAGCTTCAATTACTACAAAACATTTCCGTAATAGGAAACTTTGGCATACTGAATAATCACAATCACAAGAAACAAAACTGATTGTAAAACGGTTTAAGTTACATAAAGAGAATTAAAAAAGTTATCAGTATCATACTCTGGAAAAGGCCCTTGGAACTAGAAAACAGTGAGCCACCTGTGTTGAAGGAATTCGATAGATACCTGTGGGAATCTTGTTCATCATGCTGAGAATAACCGCAGGAGATGATCTCATAAATAAACTATTGGAGTTGTTAAGATTGTATTATTTGGTCTAACAAGAAGCACGAACCTGTGCAGATGTAACAGTAATTTGTGTGCGTGTGTGTGTATACATACACGTGGTTACGACATCTGAGACAGTAAAATCCATCAACTAAGACAGTAAAGAATATGTAAAAGCAAAAGAGCGAACACTGAAATATATACATATTAGTGTCAGTTAAGAGAAAGTTACAAGGCACTACCTGTACTTCTGAAAAAATCATTTGAAAACGGAATAAATAACAAGCAGATGTAACAGTGGAGGTCAATTATGTGGCTTCCTGTTAGCCCTCACTACTAACTTGTTCTTTTTTTTTTCCCTAATCACATCAACCCCTTAACAATTAACAACTCAACAAGTCAAAGAACACCAGAACAAATTTTATCTCTATATACCCAATTTGCCACGTAATTTAACTTAAAACTATGATTCGACTAAATCTCAAGTGAAACCTACTTATTTGTAGCTTCAATTACTACAAAACATTTTCGTAATAGGAAACTTTGGCATACTGAATAATCACAATCACAAGAAACAGCACTGAGTGTAAAACGGTTTAAGTTACGTAAAGAGAATTAAAAAAGTTATCAGTATCATACTCTGGAAAAGGCCCTTGGAACTAGAAAACAGTGAGCCACCTGTGTTGAAGGAATTCGATAGATACCTGTGGGAATCTTGTTCATCATGCTGAGAATAGCCGGAAGAGATGATCTCATAAATAAACTATTAGAGTTGTTAAGATTGTATTATTTGATCTAACAACAAGCATGAACCTATGGGGGCAAGTGTAACAGTGGAGGCCATTGATCTGGAGCATTAGGAATTGCACAATTTGTAATTGTGACTTAATCTGATTGCCATCTCTGTTTAGTACAAATGCAACCACACCTCATTCCTGATTTATCCAATTCGCTAGGGCAATAACAATCAACAGGCAGAGTTTGTTATCAACTTATTATCAAGTTCTTTGGTAAGATCAAAACGTCAAATGTGAAAATACTGTTTGAGTTCATTATATGCAAATATTCTAATGGAAAACGTTACCTTCCAGATGCCGTCACTAGCCAAGATGATGAACTCAGTGTCCTCAATAATGTTTTGAACCATCACATCTGGCTCTGCAGTAATGCCGTCTTTCCACATAAATCACAGTTACGGATAAGGAAAAAAAGGTAGTATCGGTTATATAAATTAAAATTACTGACCAGGATTATAATGATCATTGAAAAAAAATGTATGTTGAAGAGAAATATGCATTGATTATTTGTTCTTTTAACATGTCAACAAAATTTGCAAGAAGTCGGCAATGGAAAAACACAAAATTTGCAAGAAATGTTGACTAGTTGCAAAGGACAAATGGGAATAATAAAATGACAGACGTATGTTTATCTTTACATTTTGTTTCTTTAAACAAAGATATATGTGTATTATCGTCAGACAAAACCCACAAAAAATATATTTGCCTAGCTGCCATAAGTTTAAGAATGAGGTGTATCTGTTTCAAACCCATCAAATTGAAATAAATGCTTACCAGACTCTAAACAAATCTACATAAGAATCATGGAAGAAAATATGTGTATTATCATCAGAAAGACCCACAGAAAATATATTTTCCCAGACGCAATAAGTTTAAGAATGAGAGTTATCTGTTTCAAACCCATTAAATTGAAATACATGCATACCAGACTCTAAACAAATCTACATATAAGAATCATGGAAAATATGTGTATCATCATCAGAAAAAACCCACAGCAAAAGTATTTTCCCAGACGCAATAAGCCTGAGAATGAGAGGTATCTGTTTCAAACACATCAAATTGAAATACATGCATACCACACTCTAAACCAATCTACATATGAGAATTATGGAAGAAAATGTGTATTATCATCAGAAAAAACCCACAAAAAATGTATTTTGCCAGGCGCAATAAGTTTAAGAATGAGAGGTATCTGTGTTAAACCCATCAAATTGAAATACATGCGTTCCAGACTCTAAACAAATCTACACAAGAATCCTGGAAGAAAATAATCCCAGTTTCACTCGATAGGTTATGAACTTATGAACTTATACTACAATCAGCAAGGCTGCTTCAAAAACCTTTGTATCCAAAGTTAACATATAGCAGTTAAAAGCTCTGAACGAGCCTCTGGATTTACAATGCTTAGACCAACAGCTTCGTCTAGAGTCCCCAAAGAACATGAAAAGTTAAGAAATGGAACAGAGGGAGGGAGGGAGGGAGGAACCTGTGAAGCCGAGTTTTTCTGACGGAGAGTGTTAGCATGAGCCCAGAAGCTCGCAGAGCCACTAGGCAAATCCGCCATTGATGACCGTTAAATTCAACTGAGTGAGTCAGATTGCCGGATTTGAACTCTCGAAGCAATACACTTCCAACCACCAAGCCATAAGTTTGATAAGTGACCGTTAAATTCAATTAGATGGACGCTGATCGTCTTGAGATATATAGCCGTTTGCTTACAACGATCCGAAATTTGAATTTTCATTTTATCAATTTCAGTGTGATCAATTATTACCAATCTCAATCAAATAACTTCCCAATCACAATTTAATGATAAATTTTTCTGTTGGAAAAAATTAATAATTTTTTCCGTCCAATTCCTTAAATATATGATTTTTTTTATACAACAAACAATAAAGCAATTATTATCAACCTCAATCAATTAACCTCCTGATCACAATTTAATAATAACGTTTTCTGTTAGAAAAATAATATTCCCCCTTAGCGTAGATATAAGACTCATTTTATAGTGTATTATATTACAAAATAGGTCTTATATTTAGGGCCGAGTAATAAAATTTTCCATCCAATTCCTTAAATATATGATTATTTTTTTAGAATAAGTTCGCTAATTTCAAATAAATGTAGCCGTAATTGTAGGGATTTTGCACGAAACATATTTTAACTGAGAATTCTCTAATTAATACATGTGACTTGCATTTATTATTGTTCCGTTGGATAATTTGGCAATTAGAAGAGATTTCTGAATAAAATTTTCAGATTTTAGAAATAAAAATTTATGTTGAAAAATTTAGTTATCTTTCATTTAAAATCTAACAATACCAAATTTAAATTGACTAATAATAATTTTAAATATTAAATAGGAAAAATCTCATTTAAAGCTAACTGAAATAGAAAATTTTGGTGCCTAGATTATATAAATTTTACTCCATTGGAGTGTTTATCACTCACGTGTGTGTATTGGACAAAACTGAATGCCGTACCGTACAAATATAATTTAGGATTAAAAATTGTTAAAATTCCAATAAAAGAGAAAAAGTCATTAATAATTTAAGGTAAAATACATTAACTATCTTTCTATTTTCTTTTAAATTTTTTATATTCTTGATCATTTTTGTTCTAGTTATGATATATGATCAATTTATAATTTTTTTACATTTTATATAGGAATAATAAAAACGGCTCCTTAAGAGATAAAGTTGTTAATTATATCAACAATACTCTTCTTTTAGAATTTACGGATCTGTTTTACCACAACAAATATATAAATATCATGTTAACTATATGATCATCGCTTAATCACACACAAACACACACACAAGGTATGAAGAACAAACTTATTTGTACTATTATATCTTCTACTACTTGAAAATAAAAAAATCTTCATTGTCTATAAATATATATATTATGTCAAGTATATGATAAATACATACTCAGAATATTAATTGCTATATCATTTTGATATAAAATTTATACAAACTATATACATATGACTGTATATTGCATGTATAACAAATTGAATGGACAATTCAGATTAAATATCATGGTATATATATTTACTAATGATTAATCAATAATTTACTATTGCATAGTTTGAGCAAATGGATAGCACAGAGAAATAACGGCCAACAGCAAAATCCTGATTCTATGATATTCAGTCCCTTAATAAAGATACAATAATTGCATTAATGAAAAAACAAAGAAAGAAAGAAAGATACAATAACTGCCTATTGAAAGCCTACGGAAAATCAAGCAAAAAAAAAGTAAACCACTAAAAACATCCTTGGAAAAACAATTAAAACCCAAAAAAAAACTGTTCAAAGGAAACAATATGATAGAACTAAGCACAGGCAGGTGCGTTCAAGTAACTGAGACGAGCAAATACAAAGGAATCAGCCGCCACAGTGATGGGAGAAGAAAGATTCACAAGCACTGGTTTAATGGCAGGAATATCATGAGACTTTGTCAATCTCAAAGCTTTTCCATTCAACGAAACGATGTCGCTTTGAATGTTCCCATCTTTAGGTGTCAAATGGTACTCCTCTCTCTTCTTCAAATCTGAACTTTGGTCTGGGTATAGATTCATGTCTGGCTTAACAGTCACATTGAAGGAAGTTGAATTCGACATGTTTATCAGTAGTAAAGTCACACCGGCCTGCGAGTATCCAGAAAAGTATGAATTTTTATTACTGGGATTTTAGATTCAAACGACAAAAAAGTGTTATTTATTGTTTCTGGAAATCAATAAATGAATGAATGAATGGAGCTTACGTTGTTCTTGGAACAATGAGCATATGTACGCAGATATGGAGATCCTTCATGGTGTACAGAGAGAACTTTTGATCCCATAAGCTTATGCCATAACAAGGCACTGTCATTGAGAAAGAAATTAATTAATCACATCACTTAAGGAAAATAACTTTTTATAAACAAGCTTGAATTAGAAGTCATGCCCATAATAATCTGGGTTAGGGATGAAAGATGTAGTGTTAAGTAGACCATAGTTTCCTCCAATCAGTGTCTGTCTGCAATAAACCCTGTGGTTGAATGTCGAAGTCATGCCTAGTTGATCCAAGTACCTATTTGATCATTAAGAAAAGTTAGAACATTCTTGAAATTTGTTCAAGAAAGGATCTAAAATTGCATAAGAAAATAATTAATAAGGGGTGTCACTACACCAGAAGCCATTGGCAAAAGTATGTGACACGTCTTTGCCTCCACTATTATAGGCTCCACCAGATTCACCGACCCATGGTTGAGCCCATGGTGTATACTCCTTCACCGCGGTTGATATATCCTTAAATGTTTGAGCAACCTGGCTTAAGAAATATGGGTCTTGGATCTTGTTAATCAAGGTCTTATCCACACCTGCATTTATAGTCAAGGTTTGTCAAACATTTTGTCATGAACACCACATGTTCGTGGAATTGCCCGACAAATAGAGAAACAAGCCAACCATAACTAAATCATGACTCAAATCTTTTTACATTGATCACAAAAGTGAATGTAGAAATTGCATTTGGATATATAGCAATTAAAATAGAATAAAATTTGTGCACTTACCAGCACCAAGGTTATAAATATGGTGGGTGACTCCATCAAGAACACCAGGTCCAGTATGTTCCAAGAAGGTATTGAACCATTCCTTATCATAGAAACCAGCAGGACCTAGCACCTTTGGTCTTGTTTGGGGATCAGGATATAAAGCATTCACTAGTTTTCTGAGTTTAGTGATATCTTTTGCATACTGAACACCTTCGATTCTTGCAGAAACTCCAGTACCACACAACTCATTTCCTGATGATGATTTAATTAAAGCCCATTATTGCTAATGCATTAAAACTAATTATCACAAATATAGTCCATCAAAAACATACACCTTCAGTCAAAACACATAAATGAACATGATATAGAGTTACCTAATTCATAAGAATCAATCTTGTACCCTTTCAAGGCAGTATAAGCCATGAGACTGGCAGCATTGCTTGAGTCCCAGTCTCCTTCCCAAAGAGGAGTGCCCTCCTGGGACTCTTCCTGAGACTTCTTCTTCCCAGTCAGCTCATTTAATCCAAATGTGAGTTTTACTCTAATATATATTAGTCATAATAAAATGATAAGTCATAAATTATGTATGTATGACTCGTCTCACATAAAATCATGGATATATATATATATATATATAGAGAGAGAGAGAGAGAGAGATGTACATACTTAGTAGTTTTGACAAAGTGATTGATTTGGTCCCAACGGGTACGATTGAGGCAACCTTGGCTGAAACCGAACAAGCCATCCTTATCCTTTGTCATTGGGGGACATATTTTCATGCCCCCAAATTGGTACACAATTTGATCTTGGACTGATCCTCCTAGTCTTATTCTCAGGGGATTAAATGCTGCCAAAATAATAAAAAAGTTATTAATCTAATTCTGATATGATTACGAGATTAAGTTTATATTTTTTTTTTCTCTGTTTCTTTTTAAATTTTAGAAGTAGATAGTGATCAGGGAGGGAGGGAAACACATCTTTCAAGTAAATTTCCTACATTCAAATGAGACATGCCATTTAAATAAAGCATACCACATACCATGGGTTTATCTGTCCCTAACTTTTTTTGAAAAAAAATAGGACAAATTAAAATGATGAGATCTAAATCCAAATTCTGAGCGGTTTGTAGTAGAAAATAATTATTTTATTTTATATGTGAAACCATTGAGATTTTTTTAAAACAAAAAAAAAATCCCCCGGGGGGTGGTGAAAAGAATCCTGAAAGAGTTTTTTCTTCGTCTCCGCTATCATTATTTTCAACTTGAGTGTACTAGAATGATAAAATTACAAATAATAAAAATAATTAAACACTTACCCTTTACTGCATTTAATAGAATCTTGTTTTTCAAATCCTGCAAAGCCAAGGAACACACAATTATAAGCTCTATTTTTTTTTTCTAAAATGAATAGAATTATATTAGGAGAAGATGAAGATCAATAGCCAATAACTAGTACGATTAGGTTCAGTATAACCAGAATAGTTTATGAACAAAAGTTCAGATTTGCATTCTACTGATGAATACCAAAATCATCTAACAAACACAGTCATAACAAAAATCTAAATATAATTAATATCAATAATAAAAATATAAAGACCTAAATATAAAACTTGTACATATAAACATAAACTAATTACCAGATTGAACATGCCTGCTCGTGCCCAAGGGCACTGATTATAATCACATTTATCAGAAGGCCACCAATCTAAAGTTGCGCAGATGAAATTTTCATCTGTGGTGGCTATTGAAGTCACCACCTTCACATTAAGATCCACATCTTCAGAGTGAGATAAGGAAAAGAGTGAAAGTAAAGAAACAAAAATGCATAAGAAAGCAATAAGCTTTGCTTCCATGACGACAAATAATAATGAAGGTAAACAATTAGACTTTAACATGGAGAAAGAATTGACTCGTCTTGTATTTATAAGAGTTAGGTGGTGGAAGAAGTTTTCTCACATTAATTCCTAATATATGATTAAGATAAGATTAACTTTAGAGATTTTGGATAGTGAAAGATTTAGGCAATCTTTAATAATGACTATTAAAGATAAATCATAGAAGTAGCCAAACAAATAAATAAATCAAAATATATCCCTTAGTTTCCTTTTATCTGCTTTTTTCCCTTGTGAAAATTATTAATGAATATAACGAAATAAGCTGGAGGAGAAGATGAGTATGAATGTCTAAATGGCAACCAAAAAAAAAATGAAGCAGTCATATTTCTATTATGAAATGTTTTTAAGATAAAATTTTATCCCTCAAGATTTAAATATTAAAATATATTGTCTAGGTTTCTTTTCCACAAAATTTAAAAATAATAATTTAAACATATATAGATTTTCTCTTATCTCTTTATCATCAATTTGTTTTTGACAACACATATTTTAATCCATTATCTTCAATTATTTGAATTTTCATTCATCTATTTAGGAGTTTTTTTTTTTTTAACTTTCATACCTGATTAAGATTAAATTCTGAGATACTTTGATATATTCAAGAAATTTAGGAAATTATTGATCACTATTAAATAAAACTTATAAATCAGGGAATATAACATGCTTTCCTTTTATCAAACTTTTGCATATGAAAAATATGAATGGATATAACAAAATATGGTATGGACAAAGATGAATGCATGATAATAAATGAAAAACTAAATGATCGATATTTAGAATGAAAATTTTTTATTTTTATTTATATATTCTAATTATGTTTTAATTTTCTTTATTGTTATTTTTTCAATTTTTGAGTTCTATAATGTGCCTTTTTCAAGTTAGCAAATATATTTTCATTTATTTATCCTTTCGTTGGCTTTTTTATTCGTTTCTAAAATAATTAAATTCACATTTACTTAAAAAAATTATATAATAATATCATTTATTATTAATGTCAAATTTAAAACAATTTGCATTATCTCATGTTGTTATTTTATTTTACATCATATAGTTAAAATATCAAAATTTTGCAACATTTTTCTGCATAATTAGTAATTAAATGTTTCACTTATCAGTCTAAATTTTTACGTACATTTTTAAGGTTTTGCATCAGGTATAGTAAAATAACAGAAAATTGATCTTAAATCATTCTCCTCAGATCTTTGATTTTTAGAATTTTAAAATTTGCAAAATTTCAAAAAAATTTATTAATTAGACTCAATAATTAATAATTAAAACTTATTTTAAATTGTACAGAAAATTTCTTATCGTTCATTTAGGTAATTTTACATCGATAAAATTCAGTCATCGTCGATGAGATTTATATGCTAGTTATGTTATCAATATCTATATGTGTGTGCGTGCCTGTGCGCATTTTATTATGCGTCCTATTTTTAAAATATTATTATTAAACTATATGTAAAAATAAAATACATATCTAAGTATCTCTCATGTTTTATGTTGTGACTGTTGATCCACGGATTGCCTTTAGGAATTACTCTTTACGATCCTAAATGCCTTTAATTAACTCATTTAGATATTAGACTAAATTAGATTAAATAAATTAGATAAGTTAGTTGTTTATTCAAAAAGTATTTTGTATTTCTTAAAATATACCTTTTAAATTAGAAAAATATCCTAATCAATTATATTTATACATATTAAGAGGGATAGTTTAGCAAATAAATGACAAATGACAGAATTAAAGGAGATTCATATTTTATATTTATGATCAAAACAAACTTGTACATTTAGGATTGGAGGAAATATTATAGAGGGTAAATATTTTGCCTAAGGCTAACCTCCCTTTTTTCCCATGGAAACTGATCAATACATATTTAACAATAAATGGTTAACAACAGGAGATGTCCTCATCCATCATCTTCTTTTTAACAAAAACTTTTGCATCTTTGGTTGTGTTCCAGCTTATTAGGATTAGATTCTTCCAAGAAAAAAATAAGGAGGAAAGAATATTATCAAACAAAATTAAAAAAATGATACTTTTAACTATTTTTAAAACATTTTTCTCTTAATATTCTCTCCTCTTTACCTTTTTTTCCCCTCATCCCAAAGAAGCCTACATGTTTACTTTAAAAAAGGCACACAAAAAAAATGATCTACATCCTCATCCAAGTAAAATAAATGGCATACATCATCGTCACCACCCAATTTCACTTATGCATGAAAGTCATATGAGAATATGACACCATTGTTTCCACAAATTTAAAGAAGTCGTAAGATTGATCATGTGTTATTAATAGGAATTAGATATAAGGAAAGGGACTAATCCTTTACAATATGACAAATCAAAGCTAGAACTCCCACTAAAAGAGATGTCCACATTTAGTATGATATTACCAATGTAAGAGGCACGACTTATGATAAATTCATGGTGTACACAAGCCCTAATTGCATATTACAAGAATGTGCAAGAAATTATGTCTTGTAAGAGTTTTATAACAAATTGCACTATTTTTAAGTCATACTTCAAACCTTATGTAATATACAAAGGATACCATATAGTTAATTAAATAATTCAAAAATAAAACTTGCTTCATACCACCTAGTTAATTATAATAATTTTTTTTAAAAAAAACTTATTTTAGGCTGAAAGTGTGCTTGAGCCCCACTTGATGAGAGTCATATAAAAGAAGGCTTACCAAGAATTCCATAAAACCTATGGTAATGAAATATTATTCATCATGAATTATGAAACAATTGACTGGGAGCTCTTATTCAATCAAACTCTTAACATAACAAAACCTAAGAATGTATGGCCTTTGGCTCTCAACAAGCACATTGTCAACCTAACTATGATGATCCACTACCCAATATGCAGCAGCAATTTTAGCTAGTTCTGTTGCCTTTCTAAGATATCTCCTATATTTCTGCAACACAAAATGACAGTTAACTTGAGTCAAACAAACATTAGACATTGAAAACATTCAAGAGCTTGTTCTCATTTAATCTAAGAGCAAGCACGATTAAATCTTGACGTTAAGTTCTATCCAGATGGCATGCCACATTTTCACTTGTAAGCCCTTCAACACTCATTAGGTCAAGAATTTTCTCAGGAACAACCTCTGCAGTAACAGGCAAATGCACGTTAAGCTAGCAAGCATAAAAAATCATTATAGATATCAAACTCTTTTACTTTAATTTCTAAGTGCCAGGTTACATAAATTCACTTTCATATCCCAGTTGAAAAACTGCAGCAACAAATTTCTTGTGCATCTCAACTGACCAGGAAAGTGATAAACTAATCTAATGCAACAGCAATTTTAGCTTGTTCAGTTGCCTTTTCAAGATAGACCCTATATTTCTGCAACACAAAATGACAGTGAGCTTAAGTCAGACAAACATCAGGCATTGAATACATTTAACAAGTTGTTCTTTTTTTTTTTTTTTGGTTGCCCACCCAGTTCACCGGAGCTTTGCTCCGACTACATCTGGATCCGACCCGTGTCGCGCACCTGGCTGTGGTGGGTGAGTCTCCCAACAGGGATTTCTACATACGCTGAGGCTCAAACTCGAGACCTCACTTAAGCGGTACCAAGTCACTTATCACTTAGACCAACCCCTGTTGGTTTGTTCTCATTTAATCTAAAAGCAAGCACAACTTAATCGTGACGTTAAGTTCTATCAAAATGAAAGAAAGTGGGCCATAGACCACTGGGCCCTTTGTGGCACTAGGTCTGGGGTTCAATCCCCAGCTCAGGCTTTGCGCCTGCCACAAAAATTCAAAAATGAATGAAAGCAAGTGGAAATTATACTTGTAGATGGCTTGCCACATTTTCACATGTAAGCCCTTCAAGATTCATCAGGTCAAGAATTTTCTTGGAAATAGCCTCTGCAATAACAGGTAAATGCACCTTAAGCAAGTAAGTATAACAAATCTTTATAGATATCAAACTGTTGACTTTAATTTCTAAGTGCCAAGTTACATAACTCACTTTCAAGTCCCACACTACAAAAAAACAGTTGATTAGTAACAGAATTTGTGACGAAAACAAATTCCGTCACTAATTTCTGACGGAATTGCAACGGAAATTCTGTCGCTAATTTTTTCAACGGATTAGTGACAGAATTTCTATCCGTCACTAAATTCCGTTACTAAATTGTTTGTCACAGAAGTTTTTGTTACTAATTCCGTCGCTAATTTTATTCCGTCGTTAATCCGCGACTAATTTTAAATTTTATTATTTTAAATTATAATCTCACAAAAATTTATAAAATAACAATTAAGAATATAATGATTTAAAAAATTTTTAATTATAAAATAAATTGATATATTTGTGGAGTTGATGTTAATGAAGATATTATCATCATTCATATCATCATTATGTATATACTGAAAATAGAAAGACAATTTCTTAGAAAACTTGTTTATATTTTGTTAAAATAAATTCCTCTTGATTATTAATAATAATTAAAAAATATAATAAGAATATTAATAACTTTCTTATGCAAACTGATATAAGAAAGAAATAATTTTATTATATGTACAATATATTGAAATATATAATATATGATAGAAATTCAAAATCAAAAAATAAATTTATATAACGCAAACTGGAGTGAATTTTGAATTTCAACCATTAAACAATATAATTTAATATAATTAATACCCGTAATATAGATTAAATTTGATCTTCAATACAAGAACAAATAGTATATACAAAAAATTTTAAGAAACTAAATTACATAGAATATATATATACAAGTAGGAGAATACTGTTTATCATAATTTATTTAAATCATTTAATTTTTTATATAGAATAATTTATTAGATTTTATTATTGTAGTTGTTTTTTTAATAATAATATTTTTTGACTAATCGTAAATGATTTTCTTCAAATATATAAAAACACATATAGATAATATAAGGTAATGTAATATAATACATATATAATTAAATT